TCAGGATCGTCCCATATTATAGCGCTTATATAATAAATATAGTTTGACATGGTTTGGTTTCCGTACGTCTCTCAATGGAGAACGCCCAGGAACGGGGTGTTTCCTATGAGTTTACTAAACCAATTCCTAACTCGTGCGGGTTCTATCACCCCTTGAAAACTCGAATCCTAAGTGAGCTTTGCATTTCATCCACATTTCGAAGTCAAAAACTGTAGGCCATCAGAATGATCATTCCAACCCTGTCATAGGCCATCATAATCATTCCAACCCCTTTCAACGTTCCTATCCGACTTGAAGAGTTTCAAAACCCGATGGTTGCAGCAGATGGCCCAGCATTACATCATATATTTCGGATCCCTGCCCAGAATTTGGGAATCACTATGAACCGACCATCATCCTTGGGCTTGTTCTAAAACACTGTGTGGGAATTTGCCGACAATTGTCACTTAAATCCCAAGTTCTCCCGGGTTTTAATCCCTAGTCATCCACCATCATTGGCCAACCAACCATCATTAGCCAACCATAAGATAGGCAGTTAACAAGCAGGATATTCCATTGTCTTACCATATGTTCCCACATGTTTTTGTGCATTAAGATGCGTGAAGTATAGGGGACTAGACATTATTAAACTATGCATACATATACAATATATATATATAAGAAAACAAACACACAAATATATATATATATGAAAGCTGCCATTCCCCAGCCGCTTGCTGCCCCAGGCGCCGTCTACGGACCAGAGCTTCTGGTCGGTACTCAGCACCTTCCGAGCACCCGGCTCCAGCAACCAGCACCTGACGGTGCTGGAACTGGAAAAAGACGATGGAAGAACATGGGAATATCCCCTCAATGATGCAAATGAAAGGGATATCTTTTACACACACACATATATATATATATACTATATTATATTATATATATATATATTATATATATATATATATGTGTGTGTAGTGTGAATGTGTGTGTGTGTGTAACAATGTTGGTATGGGAATACAATGGGGATGTATTGGGGCACTATAAATCTGAAAGCACATACCGTAGCTCTATATAGCTCCAGAATGGGAAATCAAACGGAAAGCCTCCAGGGTGTGATCCTACGCGTCCTACCCTCTTCCCCTGGAGAATTATCTTTTCCTTCCCGCACAGAGGATTTTCATCATCCCAATGAAGTTGTCTTACACCTCTTCACATTTATTTTGGTCTTGTCACTTGCATCTAAAGGTATTTCGCTTTTCAGTGTTGAACATATCCTTTTCCTGTGACTATGTTAGTTTCCGACAGGGAGCGCCCATGGTAGCTGCCCTTTTCTCTTGGTGAACTTTCCATATCTTCTCTTTTTTTGCCACAGTTTTTGCTTCGAAAACATTCATATACTTGAATCCCAATTGGCCAGGCTGTAAACACCTCCCTTTGAGATCAACCTCCTGCATGACCCCTTGGTCCAAGCAGCTCAGCCTTCCCCAGCGCGCCTGACAGCGCCCAACTCAGCGAGTGCCATTTTTTGGGATTCAAACTGGTCAAAAAGGACCTCAGTTTCCCATGACGTCCCAGCGCAATGGCTCAATGGATTGGCTTAAGGGAAAATCTGAACCGGAAACCCTCGATTTTCCCATGAAATATGGGTGAGTTTGCTGCATTTTTTCCCTTACACAAATCCATTGAACGGCCCATTTAGGGAACGTCTTACCTATTAACAATGAGATTTAGCACCTTCTGAAATATCTTCTTATGAGATATGAATCATATAGAGTTTCCATGGGAATGTGACCAAGCATTTTATGGAACACACTTGAAATCAATGGAGGATGGAGGATTACAGAATCTTTTGGAAGTGAAAAAAACAGTTTAAGCGGGGAGTCAGGTCATAGCCCCAAATGGGGAACCATGGTATACCGAATTCAAATGTGGTGATTTTGCATAGCTATATGGGGATGGGTCAAAACCTTGTACCCCTGGTGAACCTCAAAATAGCTGGTAAATGGATGTTCATCCCCCTAAAAATGGTATGTATAGGTATTGATCCATAGCCATATTGAACTGTCAGATGGTATAGAGAGATTGAGGGAAGATCCGGAGACCTTTATTTCAACAGTTTCTTCTGGATTTGTTCAGAGGAAACCATGGCCAAAAAATTACGGTTTCCTGACCGCCCCAACCAGAAAAATGGCCAAACACTGGACTCAGCCATGGCCAAAGCTAGACCATTGGAAACCATATGCAGTAATTGTTCTAGTATACTCTGGCATATTTGGTGCCTGACTCAGGGTATTTGATGGTATTTGGGTGTGAAAAGGGGGAAGACCCAAATAATCTGGGTAAATAATAATAATTCACTACCCTGAATCCAGGCCATTTTGGGATGATTCCCCTTACTAACTATGAATTTACCCAGAATAATGCCGACTGTTAATAGGCCCAATGATGCCAAGGAACGTCGACCAAATGACACATCGGCCATAGCTGGAATAGAGGCGCCTCAACGTGGCCTGCACTGGGAAGTTACAAGGGGTCAGGGCCCTGGGGCATGCGCCCCATTTCGCCGGGAAGTTACAAGGGGAAAACCACGGAAAACCACAAAAATAGATTGATTGGGTTTAATATGGGTTAATCATTAATCATCATCAACCACTAATAGATTTAATGATCATTAATCATCATCTTCTTGAAATGGCCATTTGAGCGGTATACCCATGTATACCCCATGTTCAGACGCACCAAAAAAGTGATGTGGAAAGCGAACATTTCAGACATGATGTCCAATAAAAAGGCGGAATGAAGGATAATGTAAGCAGAAAGAACGGGTCTCACGCCAATCAGGTGGGTTTGGCTGAAAAGGAGGCAACCCCAGTCCATCCGTTGAAAGCTTCATCTTCCCACATTGCGATATGAATTTCAAGCTATTGTCTATTCAAGGTGTGATTTTATGGAGTTCAAGTTTGCTCAGGTGATTACCAATATTTTAAAAAAAAAAAACATCTACTGCGACCCCACCATCGCTTTCAAACCCCTCATGTTCAAGGGATGGAACTTGAATGTCCAACGAACATCAAGGCGACAATCTGGAGCTTGCGCAATTCGTGTTATGCAAAAAAAAACTGTGGGGGTTGATACTCATCAGAATTATCTGGCAAACACGGCACAACATGGCAATGGACCATTCCCCCTTTAATTCGTTGATTTCGCAGCTATAAACCTCCATTTAGTTCCGTGGCTTTCATTAGTTTACTGATTTTGATGGATTTACAGATAAATATCGATGAACTACATCTGATATCATCTGATGCCATTCGTTTCCCCATTCGAAACCCACTAACAAAACGGACAAAGCACCAATTTTCATGGCCGGACGCCCTAACCGCCCCGCGATCTTCGCGCCACGCGTCGCACCTAAAAGATTGGGCACCGTGATCACACCATCGGGCGCCGCCCTTCGCAGCTTGTTGCAGAGGGCGGCCAGGTCCTGGCTGTGGGTAAAACAATGCCATAAACCACCCATGACTGGGAATGGTAACCATACCCCCTATAAAAATGGTGATGACTGGGGGATGATTTATGAAATTGCTGTACCCACATGAATTGCAGTGGGGACTTCCTAAGTAGGCGTAGATGATCCTCCAAGTGGGGTTCTAGCCCAGTTACAAGTGAGATACTCCACTATATACCCTCTGGTAAACTAACATAGCTATGGAAAATCACCATTTTTAATGGGAAAATCCAATATAAATGGCCATTTTCAATAGCTATGTTAAATTACCAGAGGGTAATCCACTATAACCCACTTATAGAGGACATTTTTCCATGGATGGATTTACGACACGATGTGGCAGCCCATTTCGCCTCCATTTCCAGCCACCCTTCTACCCTTCCATGGCTCCTCCCTGAAGTGTGAAGGCCATCTGCCTGGAGAAGATGTCCAGTCCGGGGCTGATCTTAGTGATGCTTTTTTGGGGGAAACTTACCCTCTGGTAATTCAACATAGCTATGGGAAATGGCCCAGTTATAGTTGATTTACCTATTAAAAGTGGTGACTTTCAATAGTTCTTTAATGTTCTTTAGTTTATCAGAGGGTATCCCGGTTATGTTGGGGGAAGAATGGACGCTTAGTCCCAACTAAGGTTTGAAAAGGGGTAAAAGCTGGAGAACAAAGCGAGATGGTGGCAAGCTGCAAACAAACGTTGCAGGCAAATGTTCGATTTCGCGGTTCTAGATTGCCGCAAGTCATCAAGTGCTGGAATCGCCAGCTCCAGGACTTATCGTGTCAGTTCTGAAATGGAATTGGGCTGCCCATCCGCCATCCCATGCGGAAAGGCACATTGAATACTCGACCTTTCACTGGAAGGTAGTTTTCCTTAAGGGAAATGGCAATTTTTCACCAGGGGGTGCTAGCCAAAAAATGTGTCTTTGACAAAAAGGTTCCATCAACATCATGAGGTGGTCCCATCGCAAACTCTGCTTGAGGCCGTTGAAATGGGTGTATCATGGTGTATCCGTTTGGATCAATTTTGGCGACGTACACCCAGAAAGTCACCATAAAGCCTGAAAACGTGATTTGCAAAACCAAAAAGGATAATGGCCATCAAGGAGTGCACATCAAAATACATCTATCATTTCTGGGGACACCCAAATGTGGCACCCACTAGAGCTCAAGACTATGTCCCATCCCTTCAGGAGACCCCCAGTCTACCACTGCGGGGTGCATCTTTGACAAGTGCGATGAGCCAGAGCTAAAGGGCAATCTCAGTCATCTGGCTGGACTATAATGGCTAATTCACCACCGAGAGAAAAGTTCGGCGAGTTTGGGATACTTACCATACTACACCCATATGTAAACATATGAACCAGCATGTCTAGAGTCTGAATTGAGGTCAGCCAGTGATGTCCTTGCCTTTCATCTAAACAAGGAGGATAAATCCCATGGCAAGGGTGTAAATCACAAGTTCCCTGGATTTCCCCCATCAAAATTGCTGTACATTGAGGGGATAAATCCACCGTGTTCAAACAAACACACCTAGAATAGCTCCAAAAAACATAGAAAATCCTACTAGAACAGTGATAGCGTACTTTCCAATATGTTCCACATCTTTTTGGGTACTATTAATGTATATATAATACCCCCGCGGGCTGCAGCGACAGCGGCCGCCTTGCCAAAACTTCTTACCATCGTTGACACCGCAGAGCACCACAGCAATGTCAAAGCCCAAGTCAACCACCTAATGTCGGTGCCATGGTTAAAATATGTCAAAACGAAGGTCTCAATATGAGAAGAATATGGGATAACATGAGACAATATAGGATATAACCAGTTTTTTTCAATGGTGATTTAACATGATTTCACCCATGAATTTAAACTAGTTTAAACTGTTGTTGTGGGATGTAATTAACGAGATTGAACCAAGGAAAATGGTGATTCAATGAAGTTGGGATCTGATGGAAGTAGAATGTGTATTTTTCCTGGAACACATTGGGGTATATAACAGGTACCCTCTGGTAATTTAACATAGCCATGGAAAATGACCCATTTATAGATGGTTTACCTATTAAAAATGGTGATTTTCCATGGCTATGTTAAATAACCAGAGGGTAATATGCTTGGTTTTCCTTTCCGACTGGATAAAACATGGCCGATAAATTTAGGGATTCTACTTGTCTGCATCTTGGGCGGATAGTCGTCACACTAGACCATAGTGAAAATTGACTGTTCTGGTCTTTTGGGGGGTGCGATATCTGGAAATTTCTGGAAAAATGGCGGAATTTCCCCTAAAAGAGTGAAAGATACCTTAGGTTAATGTTCCATCACGCAACAAGTTTAGATACCTTTTGGCAGCAGGTCTAGACATTTTTTCTTCGAATGTTGCTCATGTTGCTTTTGAGTATGTCGCGTCTTTTTCAATCCGTCCCATTTTTGGAAACTGGTCTCGACGACCCGATCAACTTCGCGGCAAAGCCTCAAGTTTCACCATAGAATGACCCCATCAGTTGAAGTTCCTACTGCATCTATTTGTTAAAAGAAGAACTGAGAATTCGAAAACCTCGGGAAGTTCAAAAATCTCGAGATGTTCACACATTTTCTAGCCATGTTCGATTTCTACGCCAACTTGGTCCTCCCAAACCCGTGGACACTCGCCTGGGAGTCGCCATTGCTTCCTGACATGACTCAGATTTGTAGGTGAAATCTCCATGTTTGATGTGAATCGTATTTTCTTGGTGAACACCACCAGTTGCTGCTGCTGCTGCTGCTGCTATTCTTGTTGCCGCTTCAATTTCCATCCGTCAAAATTCTCACAAACGGTGTTTCTTGCTTAATTACAGTAATACGTTTTCCCAGATTCCCCCTCCAAAAACTACAGAAAACCTGGTGAAATGCGCTGTAATTAAATATCTTTGAAAAATTAAATCCCAAGTTCGCGTTACTTAATTAATTAAACCCTATCAAACCCGCTTCTTAATGCCTTCCCCCGCCTAAAAATGTTCACTAACGAAGATTAATCCCCTTTACATCCCCTTTACATCTAAAAAACATGTTGTCTCATAATCCCATGATAATGCAAATTTGTGAGGGTTAATAGCACTCTTTCAGTCCCATATTGTAGGTATTGTGTCAATCTGATGGGATACATAAATCCCAACCCCAACTACAGCCCCATATGCCCCCATACGGTTCCCATTGCTGCTTTCAACCATGTTTGTTTCTTACATCATCACCATGACAACCCCAGATAAATCAAAATTCAATAAACCCATACCCATCCCATACCCATCATATCCCCTACTTGGGGACCTTTTTTGGGGGTCAACCACCGGTGACCGCGCCTGGCTCCAGGAGCTCGTTGAGCTCGCGCACGTCCGCGCCGTTGGCCGCGATGGTGCGCCACTCCACGGGCCGCCGCTGCAGCGAGGCCAAGCGACACGCGCAGGCGGCCTGGCGCCGGGGATATCCACCAAAAATACCGTAGGGGAAAAGGTGAGATGGTGGGAAGATGGTGGTTTTTGAATGATGAATGGTTTTTTAGTTGACCTACCCCACTGAAAAATATTAGTCAATTGGGATCATTAATCCCAATATATCTGGGCTAGATTTACCTTTCCCCTATAAATAGAAGGCTAAAAAAAAATAGGTTATGATCATAATATGATAATTTACCCAGATTCATCGGTTAGAATTTACCCAGATGTGGGAAGGTGGTGGTTTTTTATGATGAATCTGATGAATCTGATGAATCTGGGTAAATATGTCACTAACCTGAATCAAGGCCATTTGGGGATGATTCCCATAATTTACACAGATGAATGAATCCTAAAAAAAGGTGTTGAACTACAAAAGTGAACTACTAAGCTGAGGTTCATGTGTTTTGGAGGGATTTCCAAAGTAAAGGAAAATGGATGATGGAACCACAAAAATTGCGGAGTTTTGCCAACAAAAATTGCGGTTTTTAGCCATCAAAGAAAAGGGGGAATATTGTGTAATGTTTACTGGTCTGGAGATGGCTCACCAAGATTCAGCGCTTTTACGGCTACAGCATAAGCCTTGAAAATCAAACATTGACCGGTTTACCCAGCAACTTCGCCATGTGCCAAATCACTAAAAAAAATCAAATGTAAGAGCTATAATGTCTTTGTAATTTGGTGGCTTTAGTGTTAAATCGTCATCTTTCGGACTTTTGAAGTTAAACACTTAGACTTAGACTCTCCGTGTTAAAGATCTCCATGTTTTTTGCTGACTTACCCTCTGGTAAACTAACATAGCTATGGAAAATCAGCATTTTTCATGGGAAAACTCACTATAAATTGCCATTTTCAATAGCTTTTTGTATGTTTAGCAGAGGGTAACCCCCCCCACTTTTTAAGATAAACCAGGCACAAGCCTGCAGAGGCGCAGCCACTTTGGCGCCTACACCCACCTGGTGGCACATCCCAGCATTGGATGATGGGAAAAGTGAAGCAAAACCACGGTAGTTGCTGGTCAAAATCATAAATCCACAATACCATTGGATGATATTGGATGATGGAAACATTCCAGTTGAGATTTCCCCTGAAAAAGCAAAAATCCACAGAAAACTGGCAATGTTTGACCAATCTAAAAATGGAAACGACGTGTTCCTCTTACTATACACAAACGATAAGTCATCCTTGCAAGGCCGGCCATCTTGTCATTGCAATAATTTGCTCTTATATATATATAGTCATCCTGGAGTAGATAGAATCTCTGGAATTTCAAAGAAAAAAACGGTCCGAAAAAAACCTACAGATAGAATCCCAAAATGGCTCAAAAATCCGGGTCGATGATTGGTAAAAAAAAACGGTCCCTCTAAAATGATGACAAAAGCGGTCATTTAGCTTGTGATTTGGTTGTTTGGGCCTTTGGAATGACCACCAAATGTTGTCATTATGCTGGTGTATTAGGTTCTGGCATGCGAATTTCAGCCCAAAATCTTCCAAAGAAATTGTCACTGTTGCTGGTGGTTCCCAGAAATATAGATCCTTTGGCAATGGAATTTAATAGTCAAACCCAATAAAGGAATGGGTGTGGGTCAAATTATCACCCACCAAAATTGAAACAAGGAAAACACGTCAAAACAGCCATGTGCAAGCCATTATACTTGAATAAGGCATACCAGTGCTAGGAAAGCTGTGCAAAAGAAGGAATCCCAGTTCTTACCATTCAAAGTTCAGTCTTGCAGGTGTTTGAATAGAAAGCTGTGAAAGGAAAAGGAGATGAGAAAAGTATAGAAAAGTAGGAATCCAAGATCGACCATCCAAAGTTCATTTGTGCTAGTGCTGTGCTAGGATAGCTGGGCAAAACTATAGATAGAATATCCTCTAGAAACATGAAAAGACTGAATTTTTTAAAGGATGCTTGGAATTGAGCATGTATTTCTGGTGCTCCCTGCCCCTTCCTCCACATCTACCCATCCAAAGTTCATTCTTGGAGCTGTTTGAAAGAAAACTTTAAAAGGAAAATGGCATTAAAAAAGTAGGAATCCAAGATCTTATCATCCAAAGTTGAAATTGCAGGTTTTTGAAAAGAAGCAAGGAAAGGAAAATGGGATGAGAAAAGAAGGAGTCCACGATCTTACCATTCAAAGTTCAGTCTTGCAGGTTTTTGAAAAGAAAGCTGTGAAAGGAAAAGGAGATGAGAACAGTATAGAAAAGTAGGAATCCAAGATCGCCCATCCAAAGTTCATGTGTGCTAGTGCTGTGCTAGGACAGCTGGGCAAAACTATAGATAGAATATCCTCTAGAACCATGAAAAGACTGAATTTTTTAAGGATGCTTGGAATTAAGCATGTATTTGTGGTGTTCCCTGCCCCTTCCTCCACATCTACCCTCCAAAGTTCATTCTTGGAGCTGTTTGAAAGCACACTTTAAAAAGGAAAATGGCATTAAAAAAGTAGGAGTCCAAGATCTTACCATCCAAAGTTGAAATTGCAGGTTTTTGAAAAGAAGCAACAAAAGGAAAATGGGATGAGAAAAGAAGGAATCCACGATCTTACCATTCAAAGTTCAGTCTTGCAGGTTTTTGAATAGAAAGCTGTGAAAGGAAAAGGAGATGAGAAAAGTATAGAAAAGTAGGAATCCAAGATCGACCATCCAAAGTTCATTTGTGCTAGTGCTGTGCTAGGACAGTTGGGCGAAACTATAGATAGAATATCCTCTAGAACCATGAAAAGACTGAATTTTTTAAAGGATGCTTGGAATTGAGCATGTATTTCTGGTGCTCCCTGCCCCTTCCTCCACATCTACCCATCCAAAGTTCATTCTTGGAGCTGTTTGAAAGAAAACTTTAAAAGGAAAATGGCATTAAAAAAGTAGGAATCCAAGATCTTACCATCCAAAGTTGAAATTGCAGGTTTTTGAAAAGAAGCAACAAAAAGAAAATGGGATGAGAAAAGAAGGAATCCACGATCTTACCATTCAAAGTTCAGTCTTGCAGGTTTTGGAATAGAAAGCCGTGAAAGGAAAAGGAGATGAGAAAAGTACAGAAAAGTAGGAATCCAAGATCGACCATCCAAAGTTCATTTGTGCTAGTGCTGTGCTAGGACAGTTGGGCAAAACTATAGATAGAATATCCTCTAGAACCATGAAAAGACTGAATTTTTAAAGGATGCTTGGAATTAAGCATGTATTTGTGGTGCTCCCTGCCCCTTCCTCCACATCTACCCATCCAAAGTTCATTCTTGGAGCTGATTGAAAGCAAGCTTTAAAAGGAAAATTGCATTAAAAAAGTACGAATCCAAGATCTTACCATCCAAAGTTGAAATTGCAGGTTTTTGAAAAGAAGCAACAAAAAGAAAATGGGATGAGAAAAGAAGGAATCCACGATCTTACCATTCAAAGTTCAGTCTTGCAGGTTTTTGAATAGAAAGCTGTGAAAGGAAAAGGAGATGAGAAAAGTATAGAAAAGTAGGAATCCAAGATCGACCATCCAAAGTTCATTTGTGCTAGTGCTGTGCTAGGACAGTTGGGCAAACCTATAGATAGAATATCCTCTAGAACCATGAAAAGACTGAATTTTTTAAAGGATGCTTGGAATTGAGCATGTATTTCTGGTGCTCCCTGCCCCTTCCTCCACATCTACCCATCCAAAGTTCATTCTTGGAGCTGATTGAAAGCAAGCTTTAAAAGGAAAATGGCATTAAAATTGTAGGAATCCAAGATCTTACCATCCAAAGTTGAAATTGCAGGTTCTTGAAAAGAAGAAACAAAAGGAAAATGGGATGAGAAAAGAAGGAACCCACGATCTTACCATTTATAGTTCAGTCTTGCAGGTTTTTGAATAGAAAGCTGTGAAAGGAAAAGGAGATGAGAAAAGTATAGAAAAGTAGGAATCCAAGATCGACCATCCAAAGTTCATTTTTGCTAGTGCTGTGCTAGGACAGTTGGGAAAAACTATAGATAGAATATCCTCTAGAACCATGAAAAGACTGAATTTTTTTAAGGATGCTTGGAATTGAGCATGTATTTCTGGTGCTCCCTGCCCCTTCCTCCACATCTACCCATCCAAAGTTCATTCTTGGAGCTGTTGGAAAGAAAACTTTAAAAGGAAAATTGCATTTAAAAAGTACGAATCCAAGATCTTACCATCCAAAGTTGAAATTGCAGGTTTTTGAAAAGAAGCAACGAAAGGAAAATGGGATGAGAAAAGAAGGAATCCACGATCTTACCATTCAAAGTTCAGTCTTGCAGGTTTTTGAATAGAAAGCTGTGAAAGGAAAAGGAGATGAGAAAAGTACAGAAAAGTAGGAATCCAAGATCGACCATCCAAAGTTCATTTGTGCTAGTACTGTGCTAGGACAGTTGGGAAAAACTATAGATAGAATATCCTCTAGAACCATGAAAAGACTGAATTTTTAAAGGATGTTTGGGATTAAGATTAAGCATGTATTTGTGGTGCTCCCTGCCCCTTCCTCCACATCTACCCATCCAAAGTTCATTCTTGGAGCTGTTTGAAAGCAAGCTTTACAAGGAAAATGGCATCTAAAAAGTAGGAATCCAAGATCTTACCATCCAAAGTTGAAATTGCAGGTTTTTGAAAAGAAGCAACAAAAAGAAAATGGGATGAGAAAAGAAGGAATCCACGATCTTACCATTCAAAGTTCAGTCTTGCAGGTTTTCGACTAGAAAACTGTGAAAGGAAAAGGAGAGGAGAAAAGTATAGAAAAGTAGGAATCCAAGATCGAGCATCCAAAGTTGTGCTAGTACTGTGCTAGGACAGTTGGGCAAAACTATAGATAGAATATCCTCTAGAACCATGAAAAGACTGATTTTTTTAAGGATGTTTGGGATTAAGCATGTATTTGTGGTGCTCCCTGCCCCTTCCTCCACATCTACCCATCCAAAGTTCATTCTTGGAGCTGTTTGAAAGCAAGCTTTAAAAGGAAAATGGCATTAAAAAAGTAGGAATCCAGGATCTTACCATCCAAAGTTGAAATTGCAGGTTTTTGAAAAGAAGCAACAAAAGGAAAATGGGATGAGAAAAGAAGAAATCCACGATCTTACCATTCAATGTTCAGTCTTGCAGGTTTTTGAATAGAAAGCCGTGAAAGGAAAAGGAGATGAGAAAAGTACAGAAAAGTAGGAATCCAAGATCGACCATCCAAAGTTCATTTGTGCTAGTACTGTGCTAGGACAGTTGGGCAAAACTATAGATAGAATATCCTCTAGAACCATGAAAAGACTGATTTTTTTAAGGATGTTTGGGATTAAGCATGTATTGTGGTGCTCCCTGCCCCTTCCTCCACATCTACCCATCCAAAGTTCATTCTTGGAGCTGTTTGAAAGCAAGCTTTAAAAGGAAAATGGCATTAAAAAAATAGGAATCCGAGATCTCACCATCCAAAGTTGAAATTGCAGGTTTTTGAAAAGAAACCACAAAAGGAAAATGGGATGAGAAAAGAAGGAATCCACGATCTTACCATTTAAAGTTCAGTCTTGCAGGTTTTTGAATATAAAGCTGTGAAAGGAAAAGGAGATGAGAAAAGTATAGAAAAGTAGGAATCCAAGATCGACCATCCAAAGTTCATTTGTGCTAGTGCTGTGCTAGGACAGTTGGGCAAAACTATAGATAGAATATCCTCCAGAACCATGAAAAGATTGAATTTTTAAAGGATGCTTGGAATTGAGCATGTATTTCTGGTGCTCCCTGCCCCTTCCTCCACATCTACCCATCAAAAGTTCATTCTTGGAGCTGATTGAAAGCAAGCTTTAAAAGGAAAATTGCATTAAAAAAGTAGGAATCCAAGATCTTACCATCCAAAGTTGAAATTGCAGGTTCTTGAAAAGAAGAAACAAAAGGAAAATGGGATGAGAAAAGTAGGAATCCACGATCTTACCATTTAAAGTTCAGTCTTGCAGGTTTTTGAATAGAAAGCTGTGAAAGGAAAAGGAGATGAGAAAAGTATAGAAAAGTAGGAATCCAAGATCGACCATCCAAAGTTCATTTTGTGCTAGTACTGTGCTAGGACAGTTGGGCAAAACTATAGATAGAATATCCTCTAGAACCATGAAAAGACTTATTTTTTAAAGGATGTTTGGGATTAAGATTAAGCATGTATTGGTGGTGCTCCCTGCCCCTTCCTCCACATCTACCCATCCAAAGTTCATTCTTGGAGCTGTTTGAAAGCAAACTTTAAAAGGAAAATGGCATCTAAAAAGTAGGAATCCAAGATCTTACCATCCAAAGTTGAAATTGCAGGTTTTTGAAAAGAAGCAACAAAAGGAAAATGGGATGAGAAAAGAAGGAGTCCACGATCTTACCATTTAAAGTTCAGTCTTGTAGGTTTTTGAAAAGAAAACTGTGAAAGGAAAAGGAGATGAGAAAAGTATAGAAAAGTAGGAAGGAATCCAAGATCGAGCATCCAAAGTTCGGAAAACTGTGTTTGAAAGGAAGAGTGCATGAGAAAAGTAGGAATAGCTGATCTTACCATCCAAAGTTCATTCTCGCAGCTGTTTGAAAAGGAAACTTGGAAAGGAAAATGGAAGGAAAAAAATTGGAATGCACGATCTTACCATCCAAAGTTCATAACTGAAGGTTTTTGAATGGAAAACTGTGACAGGAAAAGGACATGAGAAAAGCAGGAATCAAACTTTGAAAGGAACATGGCATGAGAAAAGCTGGAATCCACGATCTTACCATCCAAAGTTTACAATTACAGATTTTTGAAGGGAAAAGTGTGAAAGGAAAAGGAAATGAGAAAAGTAGGAATCTACGTCTACGATCTTACCATCCAAAGTTTATTTTTGCAGCTGTTTGAAAAGGAAAATTTGAAAGAAAAAATAAATTGGAAGGTTTTGAAAAGGAAAGGAAAAAAAACACATTTTGAGCATCCTGGAGTAGATTTTGGAATATTCTATCTAGGGGGTCCGAATATATAGTTTAGTATTGGGTCAAAAAACCCTGGGTTTTTTCAAAAAAAAAACGCCCCCTACGAAACTGGATTCTATCTACTCCAGGATGACTATATATATATGTGTGTGTGTGATCACAAAGTAGACTTCAGAAAAAAATGAGGCTTCATGTTTGCTTTGCACCAGTTACCTCGCTGGCCAAAGTCGAAATTCTGAGTAGGTATGCAACGAACTCACTATACACAAACGTCTTGAGGTTCTAAAATGACTGAGTTCTATACGTATGTTCCAATTTTCTCTCAGCAATTCTCCATTTTGGCGCACCAGACTGCATCGTCGGTGTCGGAGTGTACATCCCTATCCCTCCTTGTTTGATCCCTATAGTTTACCAGTCCATCCCCATTTTCTGTTGAATTCACTCAACATGTTTGTGACATATTCTGCTTTTCTGGCAGTTCCGTGTTTAAAAAAACGGCGTTTTTTTCATGATTCAAATAATCCCTTCACGAACGTTCAAGACCATCCTAGGTCATCCCAGGTCCAATAATTGGATCCATTTGGACCCCATCATTCGGGTCATTGACATTTCGGGAAGGGTCATTTAACATCAATGATGGATTAGCATGTTCCCATCCCCCATATAAAGCCACCGCCCAGAAACCATAGGGGACCATTGAGGAGGTGGTAAATATTGGAGGGGATGGGATTATGAACCAAAAAAAAAGGAGGTGTCCATCATTTATCAATTAATATCAATTAATTATATTATATCCCTCAAGGTTTGGTGGTTTTGATGATGCGTAAATTACGAATTAAATGACTATAATCTCAGATTTATAGTCATTAAATTCCCATTCAAATCCAATGAAATTACCATAGATGGCTAAATTACGTTAAATTCCCATTAAGATCCAAGTGAATTTCCCGTATAGAGTATGGCTGAATTCCCATGAGATTCTCATCAAATGACTCATCAATTTGGTCCGTTACCCCTCCGTTGAACGACAACGCCGGGAGGCTGCGATGGAATCTCCAACGAAGAGAAGCTTCAAAGGCTTTCCTGCTGAAGCGAAGCCAGCGTTGAGAAAACAAAGGGGCTAGAATCCAAGCAAAATACGGAAGAAACATCATATGATTTCACATATGGGGAAACATGACAAAATATGTTATATGTAAATACAATTAAATACGTGTATGTATATATATATACAATATATAGGCATGCATGCATGCATGCATGCATGCATGGATGGATGGATGGATGGATGGATGGATGCATGCATGTATGTATGTATGTATGTATGTGTGTAGAAAACACGTTTTCTTTGAAACCAGCAGAGCAATTATTGGTGATTCATATGGTTGAGCCAACAAAGAACGGGAACCACGCAAAATGTGGAGAGACTAACGAATGCGTGCACAAAAGAAAAGTTAGTAAATCACATACGACAAAGAATGTGGCTTTGGCCAAAGAAGAAATGGGGAAAATATAAGAATGCATCAACATCAACGGCAGCAAATTAAGGATTATATATTATTGAGAGCATCATCTTGCTATACAAAAATGGTTGTTGCTAATCATAGCCACCCAGCACAGAAAGTTATGTTTGATCTGGATCTAGTATTGTTTGGTCTATATATGCATTGATGGAAAAGGCATTTCAAAAATCCAGCAAAACCCACGAATCATGGCCACTCTTCGATGCCCAGCTTAGCATACCTGCCTCCTGCAAAAGATTAGCTATACTCATCCAAGGCTTACCCAGATACCTCATGATACCTCATCCTATGAATATCCCATTCTCCCAATTATGATATGCCACCATTTGAGCTGTGTTCAAAATTCCTTTTGATCTCCTGAGAAACAATTCAAAGCTTACGTAGGAGCTTACGTTCGCTTACGTTTTCCAAGGTTTTGCTTACGGCACAGCAACTTCAAAGAACTAGCTTACGCATCTCTTACGGCAAACTTTCCCGGCGAGTGAAATTTTAGTGAAAAACACGTGCTAGGAAGATGCATTTTTCCCCACCTGCCAGGTGAGGGTTGTTAGATTTTATCAGAGCTGTTCTTCCGCCTCCTCCTCCTTCTCCTCCTCCGCCTCCTCCTCTTCCTCCGCCTCCAGTTTCTCCTCGACCATGTCTGCATCAACTTCCACGTCCACTTCCGCCTTGCCAACTCTTCGCCAACTTCCGCGCGCAGTGGGCACTGCTGGACCTCAACTGCCGGCTTCGGCCTTGCCAACTCTGTGCCAGGGGTCACTGAAGGCAACCTTCGCTTACGACTCGCTTACGGATTGCTTACGCCGAGCTTACGGCAATTTCCAATCTCCGATTCGGATTCTGTGAATTTTGGTTTGATGTTCAAACAATACCGCGAAGAAAGTAGCATTCGCTCTGGCCTGCTTTCCCTATATGCAATGGCATAATGGCATAATTAATCATCGACATTCAATAGCATGCAATAGCATGCACCAAATGAAGCACACAACCTTGTTTGAGCCCCAGCTCTCATGGCCCGACATGGACTTACGAACGGCTTACGGCAACATGTTTGTGACCAATGCTTACGTCAAACCTTTCGCACTGCTTACGAAACCCAAGGAAAGTCTTACGACTTGATGGAATTATTTCAAGCCCAATACTAAACAAGTAAAGGGGAATTTAGAACGCTGCTCATTTGTTAATGCATGCCGGTCATCTTCTGTCCACTGGCGAAAAGCTCGCCAAAGTGGATAAGATACTGCTCGGCAGCCGGCAATGTGATGTCGATGCTCCCTTTGGATTGTTCGGGCAAATCTCCTCCTTCAGGTCGTTCAGGTGGTACAAAACTGAAGGACTCGCCGTGCGAGCGGGGAACTGTTGCGCGCTGCAAAGACAGGAGAATGCAAATCCTCAAATAGCCATGAAGCTCTAATTCCCACTGCCTCAACTCCGCAACATCGGCCCAACACTGTGGCAGCAGTATGGCCTCTGCATGTTGCAAGTGATGGGCCTGACCTGTGACCAGGATGTGCCCGGTCCAAGTGTTGCATTGGGCACATCACAACGTGTCCATGAACAGCAAAGAGCCACCCTTCGTACTGGATAATATCCCCGAGGCGTGCAAGCTGCACAGGATAGTGTCCAGTCCCTGCCAAGTAGAAACGTTATAAGCGTGGCCAAGGCATATCCTGGCTCTTGCTGGGACTCCTATGGAGTTGTTACCCTCTGGTAAATTAACAGTTGTAATAGATAACCATCGGTAAACCGTCTATAAATGGGCATTGTCCATAGCTGTCTTAGTTTACTGGAGGGTAAGATTCATTAAAATCACCATAAAATCCCATTAAAATCCCATTAAAACTCATTAAAATCACCTAAAATCCCATTAAAAATCCCATTAAAACCCATTAAAATCACCTAAAATCCCATTAAAACCCATTAAAATCACCTAAAATCCCATTAAAACCCATTAAAATCACCTAAAATCACCATAAAATTCCTGTTGGATGTTTTTCCGGCACCCTGACAGGCCATATCTTGGGTCCTTGAAAAGCTGCTCCTGCGTTGCCGTGCCGTTGCCCCACGGGCTCCCCTGGCTGCCCAGGAGACGGCCATGGAAATGTCAAGTTTTCTACCGGGAAACCCATGGGTTACAGGAAAAATTACTGGAAACCATGGGTTTCCGGTGGAAATATGGGGGGGTCCTGCTAATTTTCCCTTAAACCAATCCAATGATCTTATAAACTGCTCACCTACCTGACTATAGATAAAATGGCAACCATAAATATGGTTCACACTAACTTTCCTGGCATGGCAATGGACATACAGTTGGTCATACTTAGAAATATCATTATGTGTCATGGCAATTTAAGCTCTATAATCATAATATATATATATATAGTATAACTATTTGCTGAATATATCTCCATGGGACAAATTCCATAGATATCCTGGTAATTTCCACCTTAGGAAAAGCTACCCCGACAGTTTTCCCCTGCCTGGGCATTCGTATTGCCATCGCAGTTTGGCCACTTGTCCCAGCCCCAGCACCGCTGTCCCGCCCGCCGCGCAGCTCATGCCGCGCAGCAGGCGACGGCGAAGGGCGGGGCTGAAGACCATCGGTGAGAAGTCCTGAGATCTTGGAGTCATTCAGGGAACATGACAGGAAAATCATCGAAAATCTCAAGGAAACCCTTCTGTTTCACGTGTTTCTTTTTTCTAACATTTTTTAACCCCTTAAATATAGAAGTTTATAGTGGGTGATCTAACATAGCTGTGGAAAATGGCCCGTGTATGGTTGATTTACCTATTAAAGATAGTGATTTTCCATGGCTTTTTGCATGTTTAACAGAGGGTGAGGGAACATTACCGGAAAGTCATGGAAAATCTCGAGGAAATTCGATAATCCTTTTGTTTCACGTGTGTGTGTGTGTGATTTTTTTGATCCCGGTAAATATAGAAGTTTATAGTGGGTGATCCATGTATGCACTATGTTTACAAGTTATAAGCCATTCATAGTTTATTATCTATATTTAGCTATGTCCTTTTCTATGTAGTCTCTTATCCATACGTTTGATTACATCTACATGTGGACTGGAATTTGGTTCCCAATCGAAAACTTGGACTAAATCATAACTTAGCCCCCTTCACAATAAATATGCACTAAACAAAGCCCAAAATGAACGAATTCCCAAATACAAGGGTTTCTGGGACATGCCCATTGTGTGAAAGGGAGTAATGACCATTGGAAATGTTAGTGTGCTAATAGTAGGGTGCTAGGGGTGAGCAAAGCTATACAGTAAAGAGCATTTGGCGGTTAAAAAGGGAGGGGAGACCAAGAATGGATGATCGTCGTGGAACTGCTTACTGGTGCTTGGCAAGGGGTGTCACGAAGAAAATGGTATTCAAGCAAAAAGGACAGGAGTTTAAATGCTTCAAAAGGGAATTCATTAAACAAGTGTGAGCAGTGTTCAAACCCTCTGTCACCCCTGTATGCTGGTATAGGGTTTCCCGTAGTGGCTTGTGATACATTGTGATAATGCCTAATAAGTTGGATAACCCATGATAACCCCATATATTCATCAACCAACACCGGCTTTTAACAGGTCAAGCCATTAATCGGAAACTAAAACCCGTTAATCGGAAACTAAAACCCGTTAATCGGAAACTAAAATAATCGGAAACTAAAACCCGTGAATCGGAAACTAAAACCCTTGAATCGGAAACCAAAAACCCGGAATCGGGAACCAAAGCTGAATCGTAAACTAAAGCAGGTGAATCGGAAACTAAAACCTGTTAATCGGAAACCAAAAGTATCGGAAACTAAAACCTGTTCATCAATCCTAATGGGCAACTTGTCTTCTTCCAATGGAGTGGATTGCATGGGTTCTCTTTAATTGGGATCAGACCACCGCAAATCATGGGAGTAAAATCAGTCCGAAGGTAAGATGAATGTCAAACGAGGATGTGATTTCGTATGAAGATAAGTTGTAGGTGCTATCCTATGTAACACAGTCGCCAGACGGGGTTGGCGGATTTGATTTCTTATGAAGTGAATTAGCGGGTAATATCCTATTGAGCATAGTGGCCAGAGGGGGTGGCGGATTTGATGTCTTGTGAAGATAAGTTGAAGTTAATAACCTATGTAGCATAGTGGCCAGAGGGGATGGCGGATTTGATTTCTTATGAAGTGAAGTAGAGGGTAATATCCTATTCAACATAGTGGCCAGAGGGGGTGGCGGATTTGATTTCTTTTGAAGTGAAGTAGAAGGTAATATCCTATTCAACATAGTGGCCAGAGGGGGTGGCGGATTTGATTTCCTTTGGAGTGAAGTAGAAGGTAAAATCCTATTCAACATAGTGGCCAGAGGGGGTGGCGGATTTCATTTCCTTTGAAGTGCAGTAGAGGGTAATATCCTACTCAACATAGTGGCCAGAGGGGGTGGCGGATTTGCTTTCGTATGAAGATAAGTTGAAGCGAATATCCTATGTAGCGTAGCGGACAGAGGGGGTGGCGGATTTGATTTCTTATGATGGCGGATTTGATTTCTTAAGAAGATAAGTTGAAGTTAATATCCTATGTAGCATAGTGGCCAGACGGGGTTGGCGGATTTGATTTCTTATGAAGTGAAGTAGAGGGTAATATCCTATTGAGCATAGTGGCCAGAGGGGGTGGCGGATTTGATGTCTTATGAAGATAAGTTGAAGTTAACATCCTATTCAACATAGTGGCCAGAGGGGGTGGCGGATAATTTCCTTTGAAGTGAAGTAGAAGGTAATATCCTATTCAACATAGTGGCCAGAGGAGGGTGGCGGATTTGATTTCTTTTGAAGTGAAGTAGAAGGTAATATCCTATTCAACATAGTGGCCAGAGGGGGTGGCGGATTTGATTTCTTATGAAGTGAAGTAGAGGGTAATATCCTACTCAACATAGTGGCCAGAGGGGGTGGCGGATTTGATTTCATATGAAGATAAGTTGAAGCTAATATCCTATGTAGCATAGCGGCCAGAGGGGGTGGCGGATTTGATTTCTTATGATGGCGGATTTGATTTCTTAAGAAGATACAGTGAAGTTAATATCCTATGTAGCATAGTGGCCAGAGGGGGTGGCGGATTTGATTTCTTATGAAGTGAAGTAGAGGGTAATATCCTATTCAAGATAGTGGCCAGAGGGGGTGGCGGATTTGATTTCTTTTGAAGTGAAGTAGAAGGTAATATCCTATTCAACATAGTGGCCAGAGGGGGTGGCGGATTTGATTTCCTTTGGAGTGAAGTAGAAGGAAAAATCCTATTATACATAGTGGCCAGAGGGGGTGGCGGATTTCATTTCCTTTGAAGTGAAGTAGATGGTAATATCGTATTCAACATAGTGGCCAGAGGGGGTGGCGGATTTGATTTCTTATGAAGATAAGTTGAAGTTACTATTCATTATAGTGGCCAGAGGGGGTGGCGGATTTGATTTTCTTTGAAGTGAAGTAGAAGGTAACATGCTACTCAACATAGTGGCCAGAGGGGGTGGCGGATTTGATTTCTTTTGAGGTGAAGTAGAAGGTAATATCCTATTCAACATAGTGGCCAGAGGGGGTGGCGGATTTGCTTTCGTATGAAGATAAGTTGACGTTAATATCCTATTCAACATAGTGGCCAGAGGGGGTGGCGGGCTTGATTTCATATGAAGATAAGTTGAAGTTAATAACCTATGTAGCATAGTGGCCAGAGGGGATGGCGGATTTGATTTCTTATGAAGATATGTTGAAGTTAATATCCTATGTAGCATAGTGGCCAGAGGGGGTGGCGGATTTGATTTCTTATGAAGTGAAGTAGAAAGTAGTATTCTATTCAACATAGTGGCCAGAGGGGGTGGCGGATTTGATTTCCTTTGAAGTGAAGTAGAAGGTAATATCCTATTCAACAGAGTGGCCAGAGGGGGTGGCGGATTTGATTTCCTTTGAAGTGAAGTAGAAGGTAATATCGTACTCAACATAGTGGCCAGAGGGGGTGGCGGATTTGATTTCTTATGAAGATAAGTTGAAGTTAATATCCTATTCAACATAGTGGCCAGAGGGGGTGGCGGATTTAATTTCTTTTGAAGTGAAGTAGAAGGTAATATCCTATTCAACATAGTGGCCAGAGGAGGGTGGCGGATTTGATTTCTTAAGAAAATATGTTGAAGTTAATATCCTATGTAGCATAGTGGCCAGAGGGGGTGGCGGGTTTGATTTCTTATGAAGTGAAGTAGAAAGTAGTATTCTATTCAACATAGTGGCCAGAGGAGGTGGCGAATTTGATTTCCTTTGAAGTGAAGTAGATGGTAATATCGTATTCAACATAGTGGCCAGAGGGGGTGGCGGATTTGATTTCTTATGAAGTGAAGTAGAAGGTAATATCCTATTCAACATAGTGGCCAGAGGGGGTGGCGGATTTGATTGCCTTTGAAGTGAAGTAGAAGGTAATATCCTATTCAACAGAGTGGCCAGAGGGGGTGGCGGATTTGATTTCCTTTGAAGTGAAGTAGAAGGTAATATCGTATTCAACATAGTGGCCAGAGGGGGTGGCGGATTTGATGTCTTATGAAAATAAGTTGAAGTTAATATCCTATTCAACATAGTGGCCAGAGGGGGTGGCGGATTTAATTTCTTTTGAAGTGAAGTAGAAGGTAATATCCTATTCAACATAGTGGCCAGAGGAGGGGGGCGGATTTGATTTCTTAAGAAGAGAAGTTGAAGTTGAGAGTGTCGCAGCTTTCATGGAGTGGCAAGTATTCAGAAGCTGCTTGTTCAAAATATGGTTTACTCAACTGTGTCTGAAGAGTCCCAACGTCACAGTCTGTCTGTTGCCTCAGTCGAAACGCACCTGCTCTGGTGTGTTTTTTTGTTTCTGATTTTCTGGTTTTGGTTTCTGATTCGCGTTTTTTGGTTTCTGATTCGCGGGATTTTGGTTTCTGATTCGCGGGAGTTTGGTTTCTGATTCGCGGGATTTTAGTTTCTGATTCGCAGTTTTTAGTTTCTGATTCTCAGTTTCTGATTCGCGGAGTTTTGTTTCTGATTCGCGCATTTTAGTTTCTGATTCGCGGGATTTTTGGTTTCTGATTCGCGGGATTTTGGTTTCTGATTCGCGGATTTTAGTTTCTGATTCGCGGCTTTTAGTTTCTGATTCTTTGTTTCTGATTCGCGGTAAGTTTCTGATTCGCGGTTTGTTCCTTTTAACACTGCTCATGTGAATGAGTGGTTTACACAGGGCTCAGTTGCGAGACATGTTGAGAGGCCCGTAGCCCCAAGAAAAACTGTGGATCGTGACTACTTGAAAGAATCTCCACTGCGGAGAAATGACTTCTGTGGCTACTCAGTGACTACTCATTTGATGATATTTTAGGTATGATTCACTGCAAACCAACTGTCACAAATGAGTTCTAGGCTTACCATGAGGATCTGCTATCATTCATCTATCATCCTTATCCGACAGGTGAATTAAACAAGGGGTGGCTGCACAGCTTTCACCAAGCTTCGCGGCGCTAAGTTGCCGAGATCTCAATGTGACACTGGAAAAAGAAGGGCCTGGCACAGATGCTTGGCAAATTCAAACAATACTTGAACTGAAAACTGGAAACTGGATGAATTAAAATTTGGCATTTTGGGAAGGGACGATTCCTCTCACAAGACGTCATTTCAGGTCATGTGGTTCGCCCAGAATGAAAAGACCAGAGCTGAACTGGCCGTGGGCAATCTTACAACTTTTAAGCCTGCAATATTCATGGCGATGTTTCACGAATTTCATGTCGAAAATTCCGATAACAACGACTTCCATGGAACAAATAGTTGAAAAATGCTTGGCAGTGGCCATATTTTGGAGCTGCAGATGCAGCTAATGGCCAGGTCTTTACGGCCACCTGTTGTAAAGCCCATCTGCAATTGAGATTTTGCCATGTTTTGGAGGGGATAACCACTATTTTCAAGCGCCACAACATGGCCCATCTTGGATACCCTTCCCAAATTTTAAATATGCATATATATATACCTGGTTACGTGAATATTGCCCCACTTTCATTCGCAGAAGAATCAAGCACAGAAAGTACAATCAAGATCAATCAAGCACATTAAAGTATATTAAAGTACTACCCATCCAGTCAGTACAAAAAAAAAAACAGTCGGTCGATGGATCCCGAGTCGCACCTCTACCGGCGACCGGGAAGCTTTCAGAAGCTGAGAAAATGCTGCGGTGAATCGTCGGAAATCACTTCGATAGATTCTGTTGGGAAGTTTGAGGGTGTTGAAACCAAGGTCAGATTGATTTATGGAATTTTATGGATGTATTTTCAGGGAAACCATGGTTTTTTTAACCGTGGTTTTACCGCGTCCTACCCTTAAGTCTAAGGGTCTAAGAGTCTAAGGGTTTCTGGGTTCCAGTTGATGATAATCATCCCAATGGAACTGTGCAAACTCCCCATCTTTTAGCCATGTTTGGCTATCACTGTAGCATGCTGCCACATGTTCGTAGGTTCATATGAGCCATGGTCAATACTCACTATATGGTTGATGGTCATCCCATCCATAATAAGGATCCTTATAATGGTTATTATAAATCCCTATGAACCATTGGATGACTAGCCCCTATTAATGGTTATTAACCATGAGTATTGACCATAGCTCATATCCGCTGCTGGCACTTTTCCAAAGTGATTCGTCCAATCAAGTCAAAGTATGCGAAAGTGGTGAATGTTCCCATGTCAATTGCGGCTTTTTTAATCCCGATCGGAACCATTGGAGCCCGATTTAGCCCCAGTTTTCATCATCAAGAACCTGTGGTCAATTTGGGCATTGCAGGTTGTTGTCGGCAAGTTGTGTCATGCCATCATTTCCCACTTCTTTGGCCATAGCTATCATCAACGAAATCTACATGACATAGTTTTATCTGTTTGTAGGCTTAAATCAAGAGGGTTCCGGTTGAAACAACGTCATCCAAAATCTGGGGGGGGTCAAGTAGCGATTTCGCCCTGCCCGTCCCTGCTAAGTGCCACACGTCCAACGCCTGCTTTCCAGCACTGATCTTGCGTGCGACCATGCCTCAGTGCTGTAAGATCTTGGAAGTCTGGCTGTTGAACCTTACACATCCAATACCAATATGCCAATATAGGTGGTATTTGAGAATTTGAAGTGCGATGAAGTGCGATGAAGTGAAAATCAACAGCACTTTTTGGAGTTTCTTACGATTCTTGGAGGGGTATGGATATCTCACTAAGGAGCCCTTTGTCCCAGGCAGAATTGAAGAACTGGTGAGTCGTTCCACTGGGATACCCTCTGGTAAACGTTTACATAGCTATGGAAAATCACCATTTTTCATGGGAAAACTCACTATAAATGGCCATGTTCAATAGCTATGTTAGTTTACCACTGGGATAACCAAGGGGATATCCCCCTTCAGTGATGAATCCGATCAGCTGCGATATGCTAAGATCACCAAGCTGATTCTCTGATCTAGTCATGTGGGATGATCCAAAAGGGAAACGAAACTGCTACCCTCTGGTAATGACTAACATAGCTATTGAAAATGATCATTTATAGTGGATTTACCGATTTACCCGGTAATTTACCCATTGAAAATGGTGATTTTCCATAGCTATGTTAGTTTACCAGAGGGTATATGATGTGATTTGGAATCCTTGCCCAGAGTTGCCCAAGAATTGGAATCTGACCCAGGCCTGGATAGAAAAAACGAGGCATCCCCACCCTGAAAACAGTCCACCCTTTGCATCATCGGCGCATCACCCATCCGCGCCCCAAGATTTAAGCTACAAAATTGGTGAAGCCGACATGTAGGATGGGATTGCCCAGGTCTGTCGATTTCCAGGAATCAAAAAGAACACCATGGGAAAATCATAGAGAAAACCAGGGAAAAACATGGAAAATCATAGAGAAAACCAGTGCATTTTTAGGACCTAAATTTAATTTAAATTCACCATGTCCCATTTCCTGCCGCGGCGATCAGGGTCTTCACACCGTTGCAAACACCCAGGAAAATGGCGAAGGCAAACTGTGCCTGGACATGGTGGAAAATGTGAACAGACACTTACCTTGATGGTTTGGCAAGAGAACCCCTGCTAGACTGGTTAACATAGCTTAACTTTTAGTGTGTTGTATGGTGGGTAACTATCTAAACCCAAAAAACACTAAAATCAAATCAAATAGCTATTGTTCCATCAAGCAGGGATTTTAACATACAGCGCACGTGAAGTGACACAAGTTTGGATTTAAACCTTTGAATTGGACTTGAAGCTCTCAAGCTTTCAAGTCTGGATTTCGTGTCTTACACAATTTGCTCATGTGCAAATATATATATATACATATATACATACATACATATAATTAAGTCTGACCAGGATGATATATAAATCCCAGAAGATGATGGAACATACACCTTCGTGAGAAACAATACTGGGTAAACTAGAAATATATTGATTAATATGATAGCAATTCATGCCCTTCATGTCAACTGAGTTGTCATATGGAACTAAGAGCAAACAGCTCGCTCGACATGTCCCTTACGTCAGCATTTAAGTGCAGCGCTGTCATCGGCCCAGTGGATGGTAATCCCCTCATGAAGCCCATTCAAGTCCTGCATGATGCTTTTTTGATCTATAAACAATGGCTCAAAGAGCACTTATTCGGCCATATTCTCTAAACAAAAGGTATGAATACTTATTGGGCCATATTGAGCCCATTCATGATGCCCATGAATTAATGATTCATTTCAACAGGCTATAAAGTGACTGAATTCCCTGTTGAAATCATCCATTTCAACCGTTGCTGTGCAGGAAACCAGCACCAAACCTTCACCCAGAAGGTCATGGTCGGAATGGAGCCTCACAGATGCCGGAGGTCTATAGAAATGGCCAAACAGATAGTATTGGATGGTATTGACATGTATTGACCTATATATTGGCTATATCAATTTTGAATATTATATCATTATGTCTGTCTATTGATCTGTCTATTTCAATGTTCATAGAATTTGAGAGTATTCGCCTATAATTGCCCCATAATTGGATAGAACATGATAGAACTGCATTTCCAGGATATTGGCAAAGCCATTGCAGATGATATCTAAGCCTCATAATCTTCATATTTCGTCCAGGTTTCGATCTGGAACAAAATCTATTCGCGAGTTGCTATGTGTTTCTCATGCTTCGCCATAGGTGTTTCTCATGCTTCGCCTTGTCTGAAAATATGCTCAAAATTGTTCAAGTGAGTGTGCATTCTTGGATGTTCATAGCTTGTAGCCAACAACCCCGGTTTGTGAGTCTCCTTGGGCTTATCCTATGGTTGACATGGGCTGCAAGTTACAATCTGGAACATTTACTAGGCATTGGCTTGGATAAAGGTCTAAATATGTCTAAATAGATACATTTCTGTGAAGTGTGCTGTCTTCCTCTGCCTTCACCACATTAGGTAAGCAAATAATACACCTGTAGAGATACTGAGCATTATCACATGCAGAATGTATATAATGTTAGTTAAGCAATAGTAAACCATCCCAAATTTTACCATAAATGCGGGGTACAAACTATTAAAATATTGGTGGTTTATCATTGTTCTACTAACATGAACATAGCACGCTTTAGGTCTATGTCTGTGCAAAGTGCATCTGTCCATGTGCCAACACTTGATAGCCCCCTCAAATGACGTGGCTACAGAAAACCCGCCCTTTCTGTTTCGAAACGGTCCTTTCATGAGAGAAAGGGGGTTTCCCATGGCCATGTCCGATTACCCAGACAATCCAAGTGACTCATGACTCAATTATGATTCAGCTTTACCGCGGTTTGCAGCCCTCAACCGAGTCGAAACTAAATTATGATTCAAGTTCACCCCAGGGTTTTTTTTGTGTGACGTAAACGGCTGAGCTCTGTGACTTTCAGATACTTTCAGGGCGACCAAATCATGAAACTCCGAAAAGCCCAGGGGCAAGAGATGCCATAGTCTTCATATGAAGCCCAACCGCACCTCGGGTTTTCCGCTTCTGTCTAACAATCATCCCTGGCAGAACCCGACCGGGTCAGGGAAGCAACGCATGGACTGAAAAAGGTAGCGCTTCCAACAAAGAAAGTGCATGAACGAGGAGAGTCATGTCTAGTAATCTTGTATTATATAGTATGTATTAGTGCACTACGGTGGATGGAAGAAATCCTGCACCACCAAAAGGATGGTTGAAACCCTATAAATAGTGGTAAAAACCACCGTTTTCAACTGGTGCAGGATTTCTGAACCATCCACAGTATCCTCATTGTTGCGAAAGAATCGGGTTTTGGACCGGCAACCGACTTGGAGGATCCTCATCCAACCGCAAGTGGATGGTGAAGAACTATGGTTTTTGATCGAAAAGCCAGCACAAATGGTGATTGTTTACCAGAAAAAAAATGTGATTTGATGGGATTTAAATCCAAAATTTGTAGCGTGCTCGACCATCAACCCCCAGAAAAATTGAAAAGTAAAATCCCACTGAAAAGAGTTCTATCTTTTAGATTCTTTTAGGGGGTCATTCTAAAAATGTTTGGTCATTCCCCACAGGTTCCACAGGATCAGGCTCTGAGCCGAGGACAGTAGTAGCATGGGCAGTACAACCATGACATTTTGCCTCAGCCCGAGGCGTCGGGAAAGACTGGGGGCCTGGGACCCTCGAAACACGTTGCAAAGTGGGTTTCTAAAAACATAGAAAATATCGGCAAAACATGTGTGAAAAACTGAGTTTCATTGATTTTCCAGTTCGCAAACCATTCCCAAAACGAGCTGGGTAGACATTGGTCTTCTGGTAGATACCCTACCAATTGACTACCCATGCAGGTGGTTGATCCAGGCATTCATCCCACATGGTCCCAGCTCCCGAAAGAGAGCGCTGTCACTTGGGGTATGTGATGAGTTGGTTGGGAAACAAACATCTTGACACTAAAGTGATCACCAAAAAGATGAATCATGAAGTAAACCACTGTCCAAATGCTAGGGAAATGCTAGGGAATCACGTTCTTCTTTGGGGACACCCCTACGACTGGAACATCTTGGAATGCAACAAGAAACGGTCCCATAGACTGAATCATTATCATTCCAAAACTGAACGCAATCTTCGGTTGCAGTGACTCAGTTGCAGGTTAGAATTCTGCGGGGTAGGATGGGTATAGGATGGGGAAACCTTTTGAATACTTCCACTGCTGGGTAATTCACCCCAC